TCATTGAAGTTTTAATGAAATTTAAGGAGGGAGCTGAGCTGAATATATGTTTTCAATCAACCATCTTTACTTGGAAGTACTATTATCTCTTTTTTTATGTTTTGCTTTGGTTATTTTCATGACTGCTACCATATAGTATGACTACAATTGACGTGCTTGTATACTGTGGGACAAATGCTTGGACCAGGTAAAAAATATAACGTATCTCAATTAAACATTATTGTATCCTTAGGTTTGACTAGATTAATTTAAAGCAGTGTACTTTTCTATTAAATTCTAATTATTTAATTTCTAAAGAACCTAGTGATTTAAATCTCTGTGTAAAACACAAGATCACCTAAAATTTCCATTTACTGTTGTTGACTTAGGGAGGGTGGGCACTTCTGCAGAACTGCCATCTGGGACTTGATTTCATGGATGAGCTGATGGACACAATTACAGAAACTGAGATGGTACATGATGCATTCCGCCTTTGGGTGACCACCGAGGTCCATAGGCAGTTCCCCATTACACTCCTTCAGATGTCCATTAAATTTGCCAATGAGCCTCCACAGGGCCTCCGGGCAGGACTGAAAAGAACATATGGCGGTGAGTCTATGGGAGTTTTTTGTACTTACATTGTTTTCTTAAAGAAATTATAAAAAGCAGAGTTAGCTAGGATTCAGTCACACCAAGTAGTGCTATTATTTAACCTGGTGGGGAGGTGGTGGTTCCCTTTCGTCGTGTTCCCTGTGGAATATGCCCCTGCAGTGTTGGGGAGTCAGAGCTCGGTATCCCCACCTTCGATTTTCCTGTTTTCCCAATATTGCTCTGCTTAAGCCTATGCTGTTCTCCAGTTAGACGCCTGCCTTTTTCGTTGACGTCAAAAATTGACAGCGTTTTTGTTTATGGTCTTCATGCTCCGTACCTTTAGCAGTCCAGTAGCCTCTTCCAAGAGCAGGGTCTGCATTAAAGCGATGGCCTGCCTTCATTTCATTAGGGCCACGGGTCAGAACGTGAGCAAAGTTGAAACTCAAATAGCAACAAAAACAGACAAAAGTGGCCCTCCAGTCATGACCGGCACTGAGATTGTTCTCTCTGCATTTTCTTCCTCTGCTTCATAGCTTTGTGTCTGGGACCTGTAGCTGTGAAAAGAGTGTGGGACTTGGAGTCAGGAGTCCTGATTCTGGGCCTTCCTGGTGACAAACACTTTGTTCTCTTGGGTGCTATTCGCTCACATAACCTGAGTTTCAATGTTCTCATATGTAAAATAGGGACAATCTATCCAGGAGGATTGAAATAAATTGTAACTAAAATAGTGTGTTTAATAATAATAAGAAGAAATATAATTATTGTACTTCAATCTGGAAAAGTCTGTGAAGAGATTTTTTGGGGAGTTGCTAATAAGACTCAAATTCTTGCCAATCTGTAAATTAATGTGGGGATAAAGTAGAGATGGAAGGATAATGGCAATAAAAAATAAATCAAATAATGTATAATTATGTATTCAATACAATATATAAATCTATAATAATCATTATTTGGGGCATGTTTTCTGGTTGCAATGAGCTTCTATACACACTATTTTAATTAACATTAAATTAGTTAAAGATCTATGCCCCAAATATATTCCCCAAATAATAACATCATAATAATTATTATTAATAGTAGTTATAGTATTTATTTTAACTGCCATTTCCCTTCCATTTCAATTTTATCTTCACATTATCTTGGTAGATTGTCAAGAACTTGAACCACATTAGAAGGCTCCTTACCTCCACTTCCAAATCTCTTTGAAAATTTTCAGACAGAAATGGCCTCTGGACACCCAGAAGTTAAATTATAATTGCCATATGAGTATAGTAAAAATAATTCAAAATAAGCAAAGTTTAATATCAGGAATTTACAATAGTAATTAATTACTTATAAAAGTAATAAAAAATAAAAACATTTGAGAGATGATACATTTTTCACCCAACTGACCACAATAGGTGTGAGCCAAGACCTGCTGGAAGTGAGCTCTGGGGCCCAGTGGAAGCCCTTGCTGTACGCCGTGGCTTTCCTACACTCAACTGTCCAGGAGAGGCGCAAGTTTGGCCCCCTGGGGTGGAATATCCCCTATGAATTTAATCAGGCGGACTTTAACGCCACTGTGCAGTTCATCCAAAACCACCTGGATGACATGGATATCAAAAAGGTACCACTGTGCATGCCTCCTGCTGCTGGTGCATGTGGGCTTGGGTTGCTGAGCTCCACGTGAACACTTAGCTTTGGGGCAAACCAGCTGAGAGTGAGGATTTGCTGTGCTTGCAAAGTCATCTTTAAGTCCTAGCAATTTGAGTCACACTTGCCCCTTGATTTCAGGAAAAAAATGGAAAAATTTTGATTATCATTTTATTTCTCAAAGACAAATTTATATTCCAAATACGACAACCTAAAAGAAGCTGTTGTTGGAGGGATGGGTGGAGAAACTTGTTTTTTAAAATCCTAAAAAATGTGGCCGGGCGCGGTGGCTCACGCCTGTAATCCTAGCACTCTGGGAGGCCAAGGTGGGTGGATGGTTTGAGCTCAGGAGTTTGAAACCAGCCTGAGCAAGAGCGAGACCCTGTCTCTACTAAAAATAGAAAGAAATTAATTGGACAACTAAAACTATATAGAAAAAATTAGCCGGGCATGGTGGCGCATGCATGTAGTCCCAGCTACTCGGGAGGCTGAGGCAGAAGGATTGCTTAAGCCCAGGAGTTTGAGGTTGCTGTAAGCTAGGCTGACAGCATGGCACTCTAGCCCAGGCAACATAGTGAGACTCTGTCTCAAAAAAAAAATAAAATAAATAAAAAAATAAATCAATAAATAAAATTCTAAAAAAATGAAAATGAGAGCCTTGATGGTGTTCAAGTGTGTGCTTTTAAAAGAACTGTCTGAATATTATTAAAAAGTGAACTTTTTTCTGTTAATATTAAAGTATGAAAACATACGAATGCATTAAAAGAGTCTATCTCAAACCATGGGCATGAGCTTTGAATAACCCTTCATGTTTGCCTGTTTAATTTTCTCGCTACACTTTCTCTTCGCATGACTGGTGAAGAAGGGCTGACTGAATGACGCGGGCGAAAGTGAGTGCGTGCATGTTACCTGGCAGGGAAAATAACGCGGACACGGCCATCAGTTCTGCATAATGATTCTGTAATTTTTCCCAGGGTATCTCCTGGACCACCGTCCGCTACATGATAGGAGAGATTCAGTATGGAGGTAGGGTCACCGATGACTACGATAAGAGACTGCTGAACACATTTGCTAAGGTTTGGTTCAGCGAAAGCATGTTTGGACCAGATTTCAGTTTTTACCAAGGATACAATATTCCCAAATGCAGCACAGTGGATAACTATCTTCAATATATCCAGGTTTGTCAGCTTCAGAATTTTATGCATATTGCAAATATCTGTAGCCATTTGACCTTTTTGGTATTTATTTATACTGTGTATACTGCTTTTAAATGAAGTGTTCATGGCGATATACACTAAAGCTACTACTATAGATGCTTTCTTCATGTTTTTATATTCACCTGATGATTGAAATATTTATATTTGTTCTGAGTGTGTGTTGTGTGTGAATTCTTTCTCCATCCTCCTTCTGTTTTAATGCTTCAGGGAAGAATTTTATTTGGGGAGATGATAGATTGGGCAGATTTAGAACTGGGAGACCGACACAAATCACCTGGAGCTCTCTGCCTGTGAGACATTAGCTACCACAGCAGGAGGGCAAAGGCAGCTTCTAGACTCAATCTTTTCTATTGACTAATCCTGTGACATCTATTCCTTAATTCTGGCCTAATGAACAGTGTAGGGATAGGTCCAGGAACCTGCTTTGTATGAGAGCTTCCTCTAAGACAGGGGTTCTCAACTTCGGCACAGTTGACATTCAGGGCCAGGTAGTTCTCTGTTGTAGGGCTGGCCTGTGCATCGTAGTGTGTCTAGAGCATCCCTGGGCTCTACCCACTAGATGCCAGTAGCAGCCCCCTACACACTTGTGAGAACCAAAATGTCTCCTGACATTGCTAAATGTCCACTGAGGGGCAAAATTGTCCCTGGTTGAGAAACATTGCTCTAAGAAGGGAATAAGGTAGATTTTGACAGGAAATTTGGGAATATATAGAGAAAAGAAATCTGATTTTCAAGGTGAACTACATTTTCTGTCTCTATACCTTAAATTTATTGGAACATTATTTAGCAGTGTCTTTGGTCTCTGTCTAGGATTTATCTCAGAGTAAACAAACTGAAGCACCACAGCCCCAAAAGGCTAAATTTATCAGTATATTTACAGGGTTTTTTGATATATAAATGTAATGAGCTTATTGTAAATTATCACCTCTACATTTTTATTAATTCAAATCAAACATATTTGTCTTAATGTACTGCATGTGTTTTTAAATCATCAGCACTGAATAGGAAATGTGCCTATGAAGGTATAAATTTAGGGGTGCCTGAACATGTGTATATTCTTTATATGCTTCCCCTTTCACAGTGCATTTGAGGTAACTCATAAGAAGACATTATATAAAAAGGCATAAAATAAGGGAGGAGAAAAGAGGAGAAATATGAATATGACAATAATTAAGGATAAGATTCATATATGTATGTCAAGTTGTATGTAAATTTGCCTTTTTTTTTTAAATGATTGGGGGAGGTTTTGCTTGTTCTGCTTCTGGCTGTTTCTCACGCTCCATCTCTCTGTTTTTCTCTCTGACTCTATTGCTCCCGCAATATTTGTTTCTTTTCCTAGTCTCTGTCTTTTTTCCCTGGGAGAGCACAACTCCACCTGCGGCCTTATTCGGGCCATGATTACTAGAACTGTCATTTCCTGGTATCTTATAAACATAATAACCATTAGTTATACAACATTTATTTAAACAACTGGTTAGAATTAGATTAGACTATCAGAAAACAAAATACCAATCCCCAGCTCCCTTCCTACTTCACATATAAAACAAGGCAGTATCTCTTTGATTCAATTTTGCTTGAGGTGTAGACTTTAAAGAATCATGAGCCTTTTTTTTTTATGTTTCTTGATGTTCTCTTTTCAAGGCAACTTTTGATTCTTTTCTGGAGGAATTATGGAGGTTTGTAGCCTGACACAAATAAGATGTATCATGTAAATGCTTATCCTAATGAAAGCACTTTTATTTCCTGAGACAGTATATTTTAACGCGAGCTTATTGTGGGGTGTTTGTCGTTCAGAGCTTGCCTGCCTACGACAGCCCCGAGGTATTTGGGCTGCACCCCAATGCCGACATCACTTACCAGAGCAAGCTGGCCAAAGACGTGCTGGACGCCATCCTTGGCATCCAGCCCAAGGACAGCTCTGGTGCCGGGGATGAGACCCGGGAGGCTGTGGTGGCACGGCTGGCTGACGACATGCTGGAGAAGCTGCCCCCGGACTACGGCCCCTTTGAAGTGAGTTGACGAAATCCTGACCGAGTGTCAGCTGGCTATGTGTCTGTTTGGGGCAGTGAGGAAGAAGAAAGGGGGGCAAAAATGAATTCTTCCGAAATTAAAAACAATTATTTTAAAAACAGACTTCTTAAAGAGCCAGAAAAAAGAAGTTTTTGAATCCATCAATGTGTTTCAAAGTATAAACAATAAGGAAACCTATTGAGAAGTGTTAGTTTTTATTGTTAATTTATAAGCATGTACTGACAGATTAGGATTGCTTTTCCAGAACCTTCTCCAAGGTACTTTATATTGTCATTTGTTCAAAGGAAAGCCATGTATTTTCAGAGTAATGCACCTGATTATTAAAAAAATACATATTGTGTAGTTTACCATTAAACTTAAATTTAGGCCTTAAAATTCAGGCCTTCTTAATTTCGTGGAGTCTGTATTTATATCATTCCTCTCCGCACCTTCTTCCTCTCACTAGTTTTGAAAATTGATATATTTTAGTGTATAAGTAGCTTCTAAGCAAATTTGTGATTATGAAAGTTAGTTTTTAGATATTTTAATGAATGTCGTAAAAAGATTTACCCTGATAATATTTTTTAAGATCTTTGATAAACCCAAAAGTAAGCAGCTTACTTTCCCTGTAGTCTTAAGAGAGGATGTGGACAATCGCATGGCACTTTTGGCACAGAGCCACCGTGTTTCTTTGTACCTTGTCCCTTTTCCACTTGGTTTTCAAATGGAATCCTGTAGTGTTTTGTGTCTTTTGCATCCTACCATATTCTACTAAGCGGGCAATTTTGGCTGCTGGTACTACGGTCAAACTCCAGGACCTGTCATCAAGGGGATAATTTTCCTGAAAGAATCTCTGATAACTTGCTTGGAGAAAATCAATACTGTTATCAGCTTTCATAAGCACTCTTCATTATAGGATCAGGAAAGAGGTCATTCACAACTAAGAGGGGTTTAAATATTTATGAAGCAATAAAAATATCTAAAAATAGAATGAAGCTACATAAATAAGCATAGTAAGTAGCAGCATTTAGAAGAGTCTTTCTCCTTTTGCTGAGTTTGTCAGTGCTACCTTAGGATAAAGCAAGTCAGCCTAGCACAATATCTGATATATTGAGGACTCTTAACAAGTACTTGTATGATGATAATGAATGGATGGATGGGTGGATGGAAAGGTGGATGTGTGGATGGATGGATGCTTTCATGGAAAAAAAAGAAAGCTTTTAAAATGGAAGTCTAGTTTTTTGAGACAATCAGCAGAATGGTTGTGTGTGTACTTGTCTGCTTGTGTGACAGTAAGTGAATATTTCCCAATGAATGCATTTGCTTTTTGGAAGACTTCATGATTATGGTCATGCATTTTACATTCTTCTGTGAATTTATGGCTGCCTGTTCTTTCCCGCATGGTATGAAAATTTGGACTGGTCATCTAACAGGTGTTTTCTTTCTTCTTTTTTTTCTGCCATTAAAAAAAAAGGCTTATTATTTATGGAATTGTAAGAATTTGGGCCTCTTCAGAAGCCCCAGGGCACCAGCTCCATAAAATCCTCAGTAGCTGTCTAATTTTTAATGTGTGCTTTGAACGTCTCCATGGCAGGTAAAAGAGAGGCTGCAGAAGATGGGGCCATTCCAGCCAATGAACATTTTCCTCAGGCAGGAAATAGACAGAATGCAAAGGGTACTCAGCCTTGTCCGAAGTACCCTGACTGAGCTAAAACTTGCTATTGACGGCACCATTATCATGAACGAAAATTTACGAGATGCATTGGATTGCATGTTTGATGCCAGAATCCCTGCTTCGTGGAAAAAAGTACGTATAAACCTACTTTTATCCTACCTAATCACTTCTTGTTGTGAATAGTTGTGATTGGCAAGTGGAAAGCATCTTAGGATAATTTACTCAAAATGGTTCTTTTGCTTAGGGACTAAGCTCCTTATAGCCCTGTATTTTTAGACTGTAAGTAGGGAAGGAAATTATATAGTTATTTCCACATATCAGGTGCTTTGCTGGTCAATTTACATGCATTACTTCATATAAATTTTGCATTTTATTGCCCTGATTTTACAGATTAGGAACTTGAAGTTGGGAGAAGTTAAGTCTCTTCCCAGATCACATGTCTAAGAAGTCCAAGAATCAGAATTTAAACCCAAGCCCTTGGACTCCAAAGCCCATGATGTTAATTTTATAGACAGAAATGTGTCAAGATGCATACATACATCAAAAGTCACACCAAAAAGAAAAAAAAAAGTCCCTGCTCTGTCTGTAAATATGGTGTATAGTATGTATATCTCAAAATAATAAGATAATGATTTAACAGCATGCTTATTGATTACCTGTTGGTAATTGTGCTAAAGACAAATACAGTTTTAAGAAATAATTTTCCACTTGGAAAAGTAAAATGAGTTTCTGAGTATCTTTATAAGTAGAAAAATAAGTGTGTTTGAGGGGAGGACAGTTGAGTGGATGGAGCCTAAATGACATTCTTCTCTTTGTGCTGTATTTAAGAGTGCGTGTGTGTGTGTGTGTGTGTGTATTGTGTATGCACACCCATTTTATTGGGAAATGTAAGTGAGATTGTGAAGATTGATTATGGTCAAGAAAATACATGGGAAAAGAATGAGTGTTTTTGCTGTCTGCTAGAACATATTTCCTGGGAAAATCTGCCACTTGGCTTGTTTTCCCTCTGACCACTGCCATCATCCAGGGTGACCCCACCCACAGTGCGAACCCATCAAGTGCTGGCCTGACAGCTCACTCATCCAGTGTCTCTGCTCCCAAGACTTTCCCTTCCACTCCACTTCACAATGCATATGCTCTGCCATACCTGACGGTTAGAGGAGAAGGAAACTAGGACATAAATGCAGGTATAGGGACGTGACAGGATTCACTCCTTTACAATCTGAAGTTATGGATATAAATGAAACCATGGAAGGAATGTAGGAATGGAAAAAAACATGCTCCTCCCAACAGGACAGTGTTTGAAGATGACAAGATTTAAAGTGTGAGTGTGGGAGTAGGGGAGTGAAATGGAATGGACATTAGGGTCATTACAGAGCAGAAGATCATGAGATAAGAAAGTAGGATGTTAAATGTGTCATTCACATGGATGCTGAAGTCACCCTAAAATGATTAATAAAAGTAAATGAAGGCAGCATGTGGGTTGCATGAACTTACTCTGGGCCAGAATACCTGGGTTCAAGTTATCTCTCCTCTGAGCCGTTCAACCTGGGTTAAGCTAATTGGCTTGCTGTGCCTCAATTTCCTTGTCTGCACAATGGTAAAATGGAAATGATAGTATTATGTAATTCCTAGCATTTCATGAGGATTAAATGAGTTGATATATAAAGTGCTTTGAACAGTACCTGGGATATGACCGATACTATATAAGTGCTGTGGTTATTATTAGCAAAACCACACCACCACTACCACTACAATGACCACCATCATCACTACCTCCACCATCACTACTGCCGCCACCTGCATCTGCACCACCACCACTACCACCACCGTCATCACCACCACCTCTGCCAGCAACACCATCATGATGACCCCCTCCTCCTCCACCTCCGCCTCCACCACCACCACCACCGCCATCATCACCATCTCTACCAACAACACCAACATCAGGATGACCACCACCACCTCCACCACCACCACTATCACTACCTCTATCATCACTACTGCTACCACTTGCACCTCCACCACCTCCACCTCCTCCACTACCACCACCACCAACACTATCATCATCATCATCATCATCATCATCCTAATGATAATTTGAGGGATTGAGTAGAAGAGTAAACCAGAAGCCAAATTCCTTGATGAATAAAAGGTAGTGACCAGTTGGTGACAGAAACCAAAAGGGGTAAGGACAGTATGTCCACATGACATGAGACTCAAAGGAAGAGAATGATGTGACGTATTGACCTGATAATCACAGTCAGAAATGACAAGGACATCTACTCCTCCCCTGGTTCTGAGGGCTGTGGGGTATGAGGAAAGTAGCAGCCTACATTTTGAGAAGGCTGCAAAGGAATCAGTCTGTCCTGGGTGGGGGTGGGGAACAGACTTCAGTCAAGAGAGGGGTGGAGAAATGCTCAGGAAAGAGGCTGAAGATCTAGAGGAGTTTTCTGGCCATGGCACTGAAGATGCCGAAGGGCCGTTGGGAAGGCCTGGGAGGCCGGAGGGCTGGGGTTGGCTCAGGGAGGGAAGCATATAGAGGTAAAACTGGGGAACGGGGGAGGCTTGGCTCTCTGCTGGCTACCTGGCTAAATGGGAAGGTCATAGGACTTGTTTAATATTGAGCCTTGGCTATCTCACCCAGGGCGTCGGCAGATTCCAAGGCAGTGAGTGCTGCAGGCAACATAGAGTAAGTAGGGTGGCTTCTTGTCATCTTCTCCATCTTATTTTCTTATTTTATGACACCACCATCCATCCCTCCAGCCACATGGCTTACAAACTCAGAGTCAGGTTTGACTAGACTCCGTAATTTCCTTCTCACATTCAACAAATTCATTGCCAAGGACTAAGAGTTTTCTGTCTGAATTGCCTCTTCTCATTGTCAAGGTCAGAGGAAGAACCTTTTGGGTCACTGACCTATCCTGGTTCATTCCCAGTGAAACCAGCTCACCCAGCTCATCCAGCACCTGGTAGGCTCTGGAACAGGAATCTTTGCCAGGAGGCAATCTCATTAACACTCCCTCTGCCCTCAGACCAAATGTAGTATAAACACATCTCTTTAATACCCCTGTAAAGATAGGATAGAATGAGTTATTTAATTCTTAAATTATGTTCTTTTTATTCAGGTTTTTATTTTACTCAGCTTCATTATCAGTCTTTGGAATCTCAGTAGCTATTGAAAAATAGGCAAATTCATTCTTAAGATATTTGAAATTCAAGTGGTATACCTACATAGGTTGATTGCTACATTTATTCGTATATAAAATACTACAATTACAGTAAAATATTATAAATCTATGATTTAGAGATACCTACCAGTGCTGCTGCTGATAACGTTAATAACATATCCATGTCAATTGTCATAATAGAAATTCCACAAATGAATTCAGGGGAAAGTTAGAGGCAATAAATGCAAATAATTTGTGGATGGTAAAGGGACCTGGGTTTCCTTTTTTTGCTCTTTAATGAGAGGAAATAAAAGTGTATTTTAAAGGGACAAACACTCCGGAAAATAGCTGTCTTTTACATCATTAAAAATAAGTAAGACCAAGTCTTCTACTATTTATTATCCACAGACTATATTTTAAAGTGCTGATGATTTATCCTGATGAGGCCATGAACATATTTATGTACATAGAAATCCTATTTGATATTGTATTGATTGAAATTATGACCTAAGGAAAAATGGTAGAAGCCTGTTAAATTTAATTCAATAAATTATTTTGATTCCTTTATAGACAAATCAGGGATGAATATATTGGTAAGTGGAAAATGATTCAGTTGACATCAGGCATCTTGAAAAGCTCTGCAAATTGATTTGTTACCCATGTGACAATTATCTGGTTCTATTATATCTTAGTGTCATTAATATCATTAAGGAGAAAGAATAATTTGGAAAGCTTACATATCAGAATCCAAGGGAAATTAATTCATGGCTTAGGGACTTCTTCATTTTAAAAGTGAAATTGATATTTCATCATTATTTTTCAGTCAACATAGCCAGTTTACACTACAGAATTAAACTTACATCAGTTAATGGTTTTAATGTATGCATTTCAGGCTTCTTGGGTTTCAAGTACGCTGGGCTTCTGGTTCACTGAACTTATAGAAAGAAACAGCCAATTTACCTCGTGGGTTTTCAATGGCCGACCCCACTGCTTTCGGATGACAGGCTTTTTTAACCCCCAGGGATTTTTAACTGCAATGCGACAGGTAATTGCTCTGATTTGCATCCGTTGTGTTATTATAATTTTCCTCTACAGCGTTTTCTTCTTTCATTATAGTTTTAAAGACTATAATAAGACAGAGAATGACTGTCTCTTTTTGGTACTAGCAGTTATATTGTCATGAACATAAATCCAGCCACTTGTTCTCAGGCTGCTAGCTTGAATTTTAAAATATTTGTTATTTTTGTATTTGATTCGATTTTATATTTCTTTTTAAAGTCTAAGTGGTTAAATTAGGACATAGGTATTTTTTCATGAGAGAATCTTTTTAATTCTTTAAATATTTTTCTACTTCCTTTGAATTAGGGTAATTGGGAGTTAAACTTTCATTATTATTATGCTCTTTCTATTAAGAAAAACCTCTAATTGCTGCTTTCATCCTTTGCTGCCCTGAATAGGAAATAACTCGGGCCAATAAAGGCTGGGCTCTGGACAACATGGTGCTTTGCAACGAAGTCACCAAATGGATGAAGGATGACATTTCTGCCCCTCCCACAGAGGGTGTCTATGTCTATGGGTTGTATCTTGAAGGTGCTGGCTGGGACAAGAGGAACATGAAACTCATTGAATCAAAACCCAAAGTGCTCTTTGAGCTGATGCCTGTCATAAGGATTTATGCAGAAAACAACAGTAAGTTGTCTTGTACATTCAGTGAGGATTGGTATTGTTGGGTTGGATGACATTATAAGCATAGGAATTTATTATTTTTGTTATCATGTAATAGAGATTTTACTGTTTTATCAATGAGCTCTAAATTCACACCCACATTTAGTGAGAAGTTATTGGTCTCTGGATACTTTCTTGAGCACCACTGAGGAGGCAATAGTTCTTGATAGTTCTTGCTTATCTAATAAAGCAGATAAAATATACGTGGACACTCATGAAACATTCACTGATGAGATGAGAAAGAAATGTTTGGCATAGTTAATACATGGTGGGAAAGGAGGGCAAGAAAACAGTGAGACCAAGTCGTCAGGGGCTGGATTATAGGAGCATTGGGCCTCACTGCGCTTTTAAGGGTGGATATGTGAGGTGGGGTGAGTGGTGATAAGAAGACGTTCCAGGTGGGACCACACAGGGCTCACCTGGAGGCTGTGGCTCTACCAGCTTGGAGGTTTGAGCCAGATTGTGAAATCCAGAATGAATTCAGGGGCATTGAGTTTAGTCCTATAGCTAATGGTAAAATGCTGGATTCTTATTTCAGCCTTTGAAGGTAATAACATGTCTGTGAAGCACATGCTATTAGACTTTGACATAATTATCAAAGCTGTATTTGAGAAGTCTAAAAATACCTAAACTGTTTTCCATTGTTGGCTTGATGTTTTCTGGAAGCTTTTGTTGTTGCATTTAACTCAGCTAATGTCTCTTCAGCAATAACCACCTTTCAGCACACAAGGGAATTCTCTGTTCATTTTAGAAGCAAAAGCCATAAACTCTAGAGGTAGCCATGATAGGGGATCCCAAGGAAGTGCTGAGTTTATGATAGAAGCACAAAAGATTATAACAAGTAAAGGGATAAAATAATCTCTCTTTAAAGACAGCTGGTAGTGTGCCCAATCCTTAGATAAGCAACACATTTGAAAACATGAATCAGGGAAAAGAGTTTATAAACCATAAGCATTTATTTTTTGGCAGACATTTGCTGGATGCTTAATAGATACCAGCCATGACCTTCGGTGCTAGGGATGTGAACAGAATTATGAACAGGGCTGCCCACAGGGACTCCTGGTGTAGTGAAGGAGACCCATAAGTAAATAAATAATTAAAATAGAAATGCATAAATGTTATGATAGAAATATATGCAGGATTCTCAGGGAGCCTGGAAGGAAGACAACCGTGTCTGGGAGGTTAGGAGAGATTGCTTTTGAGATGTGCTTTGGAGGATAAGAATGAGTGTGATGGGGAAAGCCTTTTCTTGGCTGAGGGAAAGAGCTTATAGCTTACCTGATCCTTCATTGACTATTTTTCTGGCACTGACCATCTGCCAAGCACTGCTCTAGTGCTGGGTATGCAGCAATGAAAATAGACTTCCCAGACTTCCCACTCACATGGAGCTTGGTCTCAAAGAGGGGGTAATAGCCATAAAAGAAGCAAACATAGTTGACCTTGTTACTTGTAGATGCTGTATTTTTGAATTAGCCTACATGCTAAAATTTCTTTGTAACCCCAAAATTGATTCTCCTGTTACTTTCTTGGCCATTCACAGAGCAGCAAAAAATTAGAGTTGCCTGATACACATGTTCCCAGCTTAGGCTGGGTAAGGCAATAGTTTGCCTTCCTGTTTCAACTCTCATACTCTATTTAGTGCATGTTTTCAAATTTTTATACTTTTTCTCTCTTGAAAATATTCCCCAAGTGTAGTGCTCAAATGTCATCTATTGTTTCTGAGTACAAGAATACCGTAGTGTACCTTATGGAGAATATTTGTGCTGGATAAACTTCCTTCAAGCATGAGTGCTGTTGGACTTGAGTTTAATGTTAATGGATCAACAATGTATATTTAAACATTGTCTTTAAACAGAGACACACATAGAACAAGACTATATATTGATTGGTTGATGAAAATGTGACCAGAGGCTTGCTGGAAACTAACTCTGTTATTTCCTCTAGGAGCAATGGCTCAGCATTCATTAATTCACTGTTCATGGTGACTTTATAGGGCATAACTACCAGGAATAATGAGAATTGGCTATAAATGAATGTGCTGATTTCAGACAGTTCTTGTTTCTCTAAAGAGAACACACACATACTATTTTAGTCCGTTTTCTGTTGCTATAACAGAATACCACAGAGGGGTAAATTATAGACAATTGTAGTTTATTTGGCTCATGGTTCTGGAGATTGGAAGGTCCAAGAGCATGGCACCAGCATCTGTAAAGGGTCATCCCATGGTAAAAGGCAGAAAGCAGAAATGAGTACCTGAGACAGAGAGAGGCTCAGGGGCCAAAATCTCTTTATAACTATCCCTACTTGCAAAAACTAACTCACTCATGAGATAACATTAATCCATTCATGAGGGATTCACCCTTAGGACCCAATAACCTCTTATTAGGCCTTACCTCCCAACACTTGTACTGGAGATTAAATATCTAACACATGAAATTTTGGGTGACACATTCAAGCCATAGCATGTGGTATGCTAGAGTATGAGATAATTTAGGAGTTCAGTGAGGAAGGAGCATCGAACTGAGATCCAAGTGACGGAAAGGGGCTCTGGTACTATCCAGTAGCAGAGGAAAAGCGAGAAGGCCCGAGATGGCAGTTGATGTTCTGGGTTTGAGGAACAGAAAGAGTGTGTAGAGTGGAGAACAATGATGAAGGGCAAGAGTGGGGAGAGATGAAGTCCGAGGGTGTGTGTGGGGATGCACGATGCATTCCCGGCATGATAACCAAGGAATTTGGTGGGACATGGGGACAGACAGGGGTTGAGGATGGCATGGGAGAGAGAGCCCAGGTACGAAGGGTGTGGTTGACGTTTTCAATATTTTGAAGTTGCTGTGTGAGTGTCATCACCAGATTTTCCTTATGGAAGATGAATGCCCAGAGGAGTGAGGGTGGAGAATAAAAGAGGAGGGTCTGAGACAGAGGGAGCCAAGAGAGAGGCCACTGGAACAATTTAGCAAGTGACAATGAGTAGAGGCAGCAACAAAAGGGTGGAGAGGATACGAGGGAGGTGGGTATGAACAATATCTAGGACCTCGAGAAGACCTGAGGATCCTTTGGATGAGAGGAGAGAAGGAGAGAATTGAGAATGGCTTTAAGGTTTTGGATTTCTCATTGGCATCAGTGTATATGGGCTGTGATTGGCTGGAAGAGACCCTTACACAGAAAATACAAGGATCTTAAAGACAGAGGGACGGTGTCCCAGAGTAAGAGCAATTGAAGCCTATCTTAGTATGGTTTCTCCAGGCATTTGTGCTACCAATGAGGCATGTGACTGCCAAGATTTCTCTCCAGTAAGCCTAAGTAGGCTACCTCAGAGTTGAAATAGAAGCTCAATGCCTGCTATGCCACTATCCCTTTATATTTTATATCAGCATCTGGAAGGACATAACTTGTTCATTACATGTCTCTGAGATGAGATGAGATGGATATAAGTTTTTTATGATTTATGGTGGGCTTTCCAATTCTTGAACCAAACTCCATGCCAGTAAGGCCAGATTCTCCTGCAGAGTCAGGGAAGGAAGAGCAGCACCCATGTTTCCTTGAACTGCATTGCTGCCCCCAGCCTTCTTGGGTCCTGGAAAGCCCATCTCCCCATGGTTCACCCGTCGATTCTGGTTTTATACATACTCCCCTGGGAACAACTGAGTTAGTCTTAGAATCGTGACTTCAAATCCATTTCTCTTTGACTAGTGAACAATAGAGGAGGAGAGTGAGTGTCTTTCAAAAAGATACCAAGTCTGCACTTGGTTTTGGATAAGATGATGTGGAGGTGCCCCTGATACATTCAGAAGAGTTGTTTGGTAGACTCTCAACAATACCAATAAGCATAACAACAAAATTAAGGCAAAAAATCTTACTGATTTCTTTTTAATTTGTATCATGTGCCAAGCGTTCCCTGAGACTTTTATACAGACATTCCTTTTTTTCCCTTATAATGATCCTAAAAGGATATTACTCTTATCTATATTTTATCTTTACTTTAGCAAGATGCTAAGTCTCAGGGATGTTAAGTGGTTTGTATACAGTTCAACAGCTGGTAAGCAGTACAGCTGGGATTTAAGCCTAGGTTTACCAGACTCCAAATCTGGGCTTTTTCCTCTATGCTGGCTCCTCCCAAGAATTTAGATCTGGGATTTAGAAGATAGGCTCAGTCAAGGATAATTAGATGTCAGCAGTGTTTAGGTAGATAACAAAGCTTCCGCATGAAGGTGGTTCTTGAGGTAGGAGGCAGAGATGGGGAAGGGGTTGGAAGAATTCTCTCTGTCATTTATGGAGAGTGTTTTACAGGTGTATTTCACACCATATCTCATTTAATCTTCACAACAGTTTGCTAAGAAACTTTATCTTTGCTTTGAGGACAATAAGCTCAGAAAGATTAGTAATGTGTTGAAGGGGCTAAGGATTACTTTAGGTGAGGACCAGTGTTTAAAAGATGAAGGAAGAAGAGGCTGTGAAGGGAAGAGTTGAGCATCGGATAAAGATCATGAAGGATCTCAGCACACTGCTTGGCGCATGATGTGTTGTTTGGAGTTTCTTAGTTGAATCTGAAAGGATAAACGTGTCTGCCTGGGCTTCGGCAAGCATCCGACCTGACGCTTTGAATTTATTAGTTCTTAGGGCGGAGTGAAGTCCTACAACAGAGATTATTTTATAGAAACACTAATCAAATGTTCTTTTAGCAAAAAATGGTATTTTAGAAATTTTGCTCTATCATATCATTGCCCATAATCAACATGCTGTAGAAATATTTCCCTTATAAAATGAAAGAAAAATCTTTCACAATTTGAGTTAGGTGTTACTTTTTCTTTTTCTTCATGACTATACTATAAAAATCCATGGCAATTTGACATTGAACATCTCAGCATGCTAGGAATAAAGAAATAATTGTATAATACTGGCAATTCTTTATTATTTAAGAGCAGATTTTTATGGCAGAACTGTACTCACCCTGCTGGGCATTAGTT